GAGCCCGTCTTTTTACTTCATGGCTCTGGTTTTAATTTTTTTCAGTTACTTCTGTGTGTGTGTGTGTGTGTGTGTGTGTTTCTTCCTTATATTCCTTCCTCTGTTTCTGAGTCTGGCAGTCGCAGCAGAGCTCTCAGCCAGAGAAATGAACCTGGCTTGAATCACTTTGGCTCCTGGAGGAAAAGCTATGAACAAAACCAGCCTTTTGTGATTATGATGAATGTGGCAAGGAGATGTGTAATTTACCTGTCGAGGGTATCGCAGATGCCATTTTAATGAGTTTTCCTAAGACCTGAAGAATCTCTGAATGCATCTTGGCTCTATGTGGTCAGATTAATGGAGGATTATTTCTCAAGTGTTTTTTCTTTCTTTTTATAAGCCTCAAGATGTGTAATAGAGAGTACATGAAGCATTTTTCTCTTTGCTAAACAAAATGTGTTTTACCCTGCAGCACTCGGTGTGATCTAATGCTGAGTACAAATTAGTATATGTCTGGAATTATTAGTATTGTGCTGACCAAAGATTACCAGCATAAAGGCCATTTTTCTCCAAGAAATGCTTTTATGAGGCTTTCATGTGGAGGGTTTATCTAATAATCACTCAAAAAAAAAGATTATTTATTGAAGGATGTGAAGCACCAGGCCACATCACTCCCTTTGTGCAAATCTCAGCTTGAGCTCAGCAGTGTGGGGACTGACACAATCTAAGGAGTAGTATTCATCTTCTGGAATGCTCTCCAAAACTGTCCTCATCCTTCCAAAGTCTGAATCTTTGTCAGTTCCTTATGTAACACACCCATCCTCATGAATATCTGCTGCAGGCTGATGGCCCTATAACAAGATATTTCAACCTGCATTTGGGAGACAGACACTCTCTACTTTTAAGATTAGGTGTAAAACTTTCCTTTTTGGCTACAGCTTGTAGTTCGGGCTGGATCAAGTGACCATGAGCTGTCTCTTAGTCAGATTGCAGTGGGCCTAGGCTGCTGGTGATTTCCTTTGATACACTTCTTCACTCACCTCATTTCACTCACTCTTTGTTTATTCTCACTGCATTTAATCATTATTAATCTCTCTCCACACTGTGTATTTCATCCCGTCTTCCTCCCCTCACCCCCAACCGGTCATGGCAGACGGGCGCCCCTCTCTGAGCCTGGTTCTTATCTTGACTGTTGTTGTGATTTTGTGCTATATAAAATATTTTAATTGAAATTCATCAAAAGACCTTTATCTACTTGTGAAAGGAAAGAAAAACAATCTCAAACAAATGAATAAGAGCATCACTTACCTTATCTGAGAGGCACAAAATATTTGATGAATATATATCATGTAACATTTTAGCATCTAATCAATCCTCTGTCATCTTGGTCATTTGGAGGCAGAAGTGACGAGCCGGTGGAGTGTAAAGTTATCGGCTAACACTTGCAAACTGAAGTAGTTGCCTTCATGTATGGTATAGATGCAAAGAAGCAGATATGTAATAAATAGTGTTGACTAACATACAAATAAGTTGGCTACTGTAAGGAAGGACAAAAATGGAGATGCTTCATTGCTGCCCTAAATGACAGATGTGCCACATATACAAATAAAGTACTACAACTAACTTGTGAATATGACTTGTCAAAAGCATAAATTTTGGCTAGGTGCAATTAACCACAGGTAAGCTCTCAACTAGCAGAGGTGAAGCCTCAAATAGCACCTGGGTATGGTCACCTGGCATCCATCTCTTGGGAGCGAGATGCTTTTAGAACCGGACTCATTTCTGCAACCACAGGTTTTGGCACATTTGTTTTGAGGGATTTGCAATGCCTATGAGGAAAGAAATGTGAGCGGTTTGAGAATACCATTGGTAATTTTATATTTTTCCCTTTATCCCAAGCTAACTGAAGCGCCTCACTTCCTGTGCTTCCTGTGAGCTGCTGATTGTTTCCAACGAAGGCTTGCAGTGTGCTGAATGTTCAGACCGGCAGGAGTAAAAGCCTTCGCACTAAATCACTGGTGCATTCTATCAATCCTCTGTACAAAGCAGGGAAAAAAAGAAACGTTTATTTTTTATTGAATTTCTGTAAGGGACGTTTGTCCTTTCCAAGTGTGACAGCTTCCCTCGCCTGTAATCTGAATCACTTTATTTTCTGTGGTGTTGTGGCTGTGTGGGCAGCGGTGGGGTGGTGGGGGTGATTTTCTGCTGACGGTTTGTTCCTCCCGCTCCCTTGTTATTGCAGCGTTGAAGATAGGAACATGCAATGCTGCTCCGCCCTCCTCCAACCTGCCTGTTCTATTTTCACCCAGACAGCTGAAGCATTGCTCCTGTCGCCTCTGTCCTCTCACTGTTTATCTTCCTCCTTCTTCCTCACTTTCTCTTTGTCCTAGAGAACAGAGATTTTCTTCTTCCCTCTCTCTCTCCTCTCCTCCCTTGCGCTTTTCCCATTAGTACACTCGAGATGATATTTTCTTGTCCTTTTCCAAGGATCCAGTCCCCAGCTTTTCTTTTATCTCTTATCTAGGGAGTGATCGTTTATACTTTCTAGTTTCCTTTTCTCTTCTGCATATGCGGTTGATGTTGTATATACGAGCTCTTGTTATGACCACTAATCGGGTTTTAACGGTAACAACCTTCCAGCCATCTAAGTCCCAGAGTCCTAATGAATTCAACAATAGTCAAAGGAGCTTGGATAGAAAGCGACAGTCACACATGACCTGGATAACTAAGAACCTACACAGAAACCTCAACAATAACAGTTTTATTGGTTCTTCAACAGGATTTAAAAATGGTAAAGTGCAATTATAACCCAATAATGCTTTTGTTTTCTCCTCTCACAAAAATGGGTTATTGTCCAATTTAGCTCACTTTCCTCTATAAATATGCCCTGTTTCTCTATAAATAAACCACCCACTGGTTTAATAAAGGCCCTTAAATATACCAACTCTTGGTACTGAATAAACCATTCCTCTGAATAGTTTGGCGGTGTCAATGATGGTAACTATGAGCGTTTGAAAAGGGAATTTATTCATGTGGAAACTCCAGTTCAGGACCAACTTGTGAGGCAGTCACTGAGGTGTAAGTGAAGCATTGCAAATGTACAACAGCAGCATCACAATACCCATATATTCATAATAATAACAGTGATATTTAAAAATAAAGCACAATAATATGAAGTCAAATGTGTCTTCTTCACACATTTAGACTTTTCAATATTTTCCTATTTAGACCTTGGATGGTCTAAATAGGAAAATATTTTTGCTATTTGCCAATTACAGTGACAGAGAATTTCCTCTGGGGAGGATTGCTAACAAAAGTTGCTGAAATGTGTCTTTCACAGCCACAAATGTAAACGTTGTGATGATGCTAGAACAAGTCACTGAATTTAACCTCTTCTCACCATGAATGTCTTTGCAAAACATTACATCATTCCATTCATTGGATAGATGTTATATCTCTCAGCAACCAGCAGACACACCATCCCTAGAGACATGGTGTTAGCATGACTGAAATCAGACTATATCATTCTTTATGTACTGGAAAAGAAAGTATGAAAAATTATGTTTTTTCGATGTGTAATCTGTTGTTATCCTGTCATGCAGATTCTCTGTGTATCCAGAGATTCGACCCTGGGCTGGGACTCATTGCACCCATAAACCCCATGATAGCAGGAATCAGCCTGGTCCCCCCTCCACCCGTTCCCCCCGACATGCCCGTCATCAAGGAGATCATCCACTGCAAGAGCTGCACTCTCTTCCCTCAGAACCCTAGTAAGACTGTACTTTAATGTAGAACCGATAAACTTTACTTGAAACCTTTTAGCGGTGTGACTTTTGCAGTAAAGGTAGACAGCAATATCAGGCTAGTAAAAGTAAACTGATTAGCTCAAATGTACAGTCAGTAATGTTTATATACTTATTTAATAGAGTCCAGAAGTTGTCTCCTTCAACAAAGAAGCAAAAACGTGAAAGAGTCAATGCAACAAGCATTTTTGAATTCTCTTCCTCCTCATCTCAAGCTCCATCTTTTATATAATGATAATAATGAGCTGGCTATACAACAACAGCTGTTTATAACACTTTGCCAGCTAATGTTACACTCGAGTGTCCAAAGAAATGACGCTTTCCTTCTCATAAACAGTTTGATTACATTCTCAGACCATATGAGAGTTTGTTCGCTAAGTGTCCAAGTCCAATAACGTTAGCTCGACGTCAAAGAAAGTTTCACTAATGCCGACTGACAGCAGTTAACACTGTCAAAAACAGCAGAGCTTACCAACAGAAAAGTTTAGGATATCCTCAACAACTCACCTCAGTATCACTGTATCCAGAAAAATATGCATTGACACGTATTGACAGCTGAGGTAAACAGCAGGCTGAGAGCCTACACTAAACAACAGATGAAAGGCAACCAGAGTTGTTTGTCCTACAGCAGCCAACATAGTTAGAATTATGTAGCAGAATTTGAAGTGGTTAAAAAACTGAATTCAGTTGACTGCAGTCTGCTCATATCTAGTGGTGAGACTTTACAGGCTGTAACTTAGGTAATTAGCTTAAATGTGAGATGGAATCTATTTTAATATTAGATGTTATTATTTAAATGTTGTTGTTTTTTTCTTTTTAATTGCTCAAACTTGACATAAAAGTCAATAGTTTTCCTCTTTAAACTGCAGTGTAGCAGGAGAGCTGTGGATGATGTGGCCATATAATCATGTAACCGGTCCTTTTATTGTGCCTCAGACCTTCCTCCTCCGTCGACACGGGAGCGCCCTCCCGGCTGTAAGACAGTATTTGTGGGGGGTTTGCCAGAGAACGCCACAGAGGAAATCATCAGGGAAGTGTTTGACCAATGTGGGGAGATCATCGCCATCCGAAAGAGCAAGAAGAACTTCTGCCACATCCGCTTCAGTGAGGAGTTCATGGTAGACAAGGCTATTTACCTGTCAGGTGAGCACTTTTCTTGGGAAATACAATGCCTCAAGTTTGCAGTTGGGATATTGTTTTCATTTGTTTGTCTTGGTTTGTTTCTTTGTTGTTTTTTTGTTGTTGTTGCGGGCCATATTGGGATAAAAAGGTAGTTGGCTAGTTATCTGTTAATGCTAGCTTTGGCTGAGTAGCTTGGTTTGCTTGGTGTATCCATAGTTTGGAGTGAAAGGCTAATGAAATGCTAGCTAAAAACATTGTGTTTTTAACAAAATGTACCCAGCATAACAGCAGATCTGCTAGTGTGTGTTTTAGTACAGCTGCATGCTAAACAACATGATGTAGCACCTAGCTATCATTATCTATTAAGTTGACCACTCTCTTGTTATGCATAACTTTCAGCTTTATTATAATTTTTCATTGCTTAGTTATATAAAATTCACCTTCAGGTAGTTGTCATAAAGAGGAAAAGTAGTATAGACACCACAATTGATTTTGTGGATTGTTTCTACTTCTACTGTTAAGCTAGATATTATAAGAGAGGGCGAGAAGAGCTTATTTTTAGGCCCAGTCTAAGGTGGATATTTAAGGAACTGTATTTTTCATAATTTTTCATCATCTTCATGTTTCACCCTAATGATTTTCGTTGGCAGATCAAATCTAATGACATTTGACTCTACCTGTTGTAGCAAATGCCTAAATATAATGGTATCACCTTCTCCCCTTCAGGGTATCGGATGCGTATCGGATCCAGCACTGATAAAAAGGACTCTGGGAAGATCCATGTAGACTTTGCCCAGGCCAGAGATGACCTTTATGAGTGGGAGTGTAAACAACGCTTACTGGCCAGAGAGGAAAGACACCGCCGCAAGATCCACGAAGACAGACTGCGGCCACCATCTCCCCCTCCGATTGTGCACTACTCTGAACACGAGGTAGCACTGTTAGCAGACAGACTAAAAGGTGAGCACTGGCAACGAGTTTGCAGAGAAAGTGTCAATTAGCTTTGCATTGAGAAAGTAATTTCTTATCACTATATGACAAGTTTACTGTGCCACAAACCTAGCAGATCAACTGATCTCATTGCTAACTCATATCAGGTGATGAGTCAGCTGATACCCTTGATGCTTCTAAAGGGCAAATCTCACACACATGCACACAGAAAAACAACCCCTGCTCCTCCTTTAAAGGCTGTATCCAAATTCATTTTTGGTGTGCTGGCAAGGGCAGGAACCCAAAGACTGCAGAGGCCAGCACAACCATGAGCTTGATCATGTCATGTCACTAATGTGACAGGGTTGGACCGAATCTGTTCAAGGTTTTGTGGTTTGGGTCAGGTGGTCACAAAATCTGCAGCTGTTGTCATGGATACAGAGAGTAAATAAAATCCCTTGTAGTAAATATATTAGTCCAAAGCCATGTACAACTTTTCAAAGCGGATTTGTAGGTCACAGATAACAACGCTTTTAATTTGATTGGCAACACATCTGTTGCTCTGTGTGTGCGTGTGTATATAATCTCCTGCTTAGGTCACTTGCTGTGATACCCAATAACATGCATGAATTAATTGTCCAGGAAGCTGCACAATTATTGATATTCTTCATCCCCCCCGTTTGTAGCCACTGATAAACAACTGTGTTTGATGGCAACAGTATAATGCAGGCAAACAGTGTGCAAACACAAGGGAAACACTCAAAGACTGTCCAAGAAGCCATGTTTGCATCAGCCTGTATAGGGATTTCTTGTTTTACAGCAGTGTTTTGTGTGTTGTTGTAAAAACTGCAGTTATTACTCAGCAGTTCTCAGAGAGCTCTGGAGTGACATAAGAAATAGGTTTTGTGACAACAGAGTATCAGATATTTTTTTTAAAGGGAGAGAAATAAAAGCAACTGGAGAAGTGGGATTTTAGTTATTAGATTTTCAAGTGTTTATCAAAGATATCTGCACAGACTGTGAGCTCTCCGCATTCAGTCATCAGTAAAAACACTGTGAACAATAAAGGAGACAAACACGATTGAGATGGAGCAAGAACTGCTAAATAAAAGCCTTACCAGAGTTCTCAACAGTGCAAAATAAAACAAAACAGTTGCAATTTTTTATGTGTCTTTACCTTTCTCATTAACTTCAGTGGCTTCCTGCTTATTTCTTCTTTTTTTTGCTTCTAGCAGCTATAATCCAGTAAGATATGCATTATTAAGTAAGCCATTGTAGGATTCTGGAATTTGTTTACAGATGTAATCGAGTCATAAATACATCGTTTTAGGCCCTGTGTTCAGGCTGAAAAACTTAGCCTCTGGAAAGGAAGAAAGAAGATGACTTCTCTGACTTCTTGTACAGCAAAAAACGCAACCTCTTATAATTGTCAGACTTTAAGCTGTTTTTTTATGGCAGCAGCAACACAATATGAAGCATTGAGCTAAATACTGATGTTGATGTTTAACAAACATACTTTGGATGCTAACATTATCTAAAGTACCTGTGATGCTGCAGTATTTGTCTTTTTTTCCAAGTTGTATAATAAGATATCCATCAGTTCATTTTGCTGACCAGTCGCAGGACCCTCCCAGCTGTCATAGATGAAGTGTGTGTGTCTATGTGTGCCCTGGTGACTGGAGTAGAAGTCAGATGATCACCAAATTTATCACAGACACAAAGATACTTGGATTGAGCCATGCTGTTAGCATTACTCGATAAAAAAAAAAAAAACTGGACTAGCTTGAACATACAGTACACAACACCTGGTTACAATGAATGCAAATGTGCTTTCCTGGTCTTACCACTCTCACAGGAAGTTGGTGGGCATTTGACTTATAGCATGTGGCTAATGTTGAGATAAGGTCTATTTTCATCCAAAAACATTTTTTCTAAGTTATTGGGGAAAAAAGTGACACCAAAGAACAAAGGTAAAATGCAAGTATAAAAATGTGTGACTGCGGGTAAATTGTGGGTAAAATGAAGTAAAGCTAGCAGCAACAAACAGAAAGATAGATTACTATATAAAACAAGAAATAACCAAAGCAACAATCCAAAACCTTTGACACATGCTGAAGTTTCCTCTGTTATCTTTCCTCAACTGGCAAACCCTGCGTGTTGAAGAATCACACTGAGTGCATACCCAGTGGGGTACAATGTAATGAGAAGGGTTTCTGACCATATATATAATATCCTTCCATCCATCCATCCATCTTATCACGCTTATCCAGGGCCGGGTCACAGGGGCAGCAACCTAAGCAGAGAAGCCCAGATGCCCCTCTGCCCAGCCACCTCCTCCAGCTTTTCTGGGCTACACCAAGATATTCCCAGGCCAGCTGAGAGATATAATCTCTCCAGCGTGTCCTGGGTCTGCTCCGGGGGCTCCTCCCGGTCATTACCCACAGCTCTTGGCCATAGGTGAGGGTAGGGACGTAGATCAACCACTAAATTGAGAGCTTCGCTTTCAGACTCAGCTCTCCCTTCACCACAATGTACCGAATAGCGTCTGCATCATTGCAGCTGCAGCACCAATCCGTATATATAATATTTATTGTTATATTAACAGAAAATGTGGTGAGAATGCAGTTAAGATGTTGTGTTTGAGTAAAATTTAGCAATCCTTGGTTTGATCTCAGATGTTTCCCATGCTTGACACCAAGTATTTTTTTCCAAGCTGTTTTAAACCTGAGTAGAAATGTGCTCCATAAAAGAAGGAATCGTGACAATGAATAATTCAGGTGACATTTGAAAGAAAGGTGAAGTCCTCGTTGTGCTTCTCTTTTAAAATCAGCCCAGTTTTACTACAGGAGTTACGTTTTTCAAGCCCCCATTTATCTACTGTGTAATGGGATTAATACCATGGACCACTCCCTTTCTTTCTGTACTGCTGCAAACCTGCACCCACCTGCTCCTTCTGCACGTGAGGAGAATTGATGGGAGAGGAGGAAGTGTGGGACTGAGTTGGCAGTTGTTTTGATAAGTGAGAAGTGAGCAATGAGGGGTGTTTGCTGTGAAGGTCATTCTCCTCCTCCTCCTCCTCTTTCACCTCCTCCGTGTTGCCTCCACTCTGCTGTGGCTAATTCTTGTCTCCAGTGATTGAAAGTGTTGCATATTTACAGTAAAAGGCTGTAAATTTTCTCTGTTTAGAAAAACACAGCGGCGCTGGAATCACTTGCAATTTAGTGCAATTTAATCACATTCAGATCCAGCGCACTGCTTATTACTGTTATTGCCTTCATGCATTGTGATGACCTTCATGTTGTCTCAGATTGAGCAGGCAAACTAAACATTAGCATCTAGTGTTATTGTTATATTTTCCGTGTTTCGACCTAAACTTGTCTTTAATGTGCGGTCAGATCCACTGCACGCATCATTTAAATAAAGCATGAAAGAGAAGAAAGTCAAGATCTTGACTGTAATAACTCCCACACAAAAAGAAATAATAACATCACCTCATGTGGTACTGTGACCTTTGTGCCAATAAAGTGTTGCTGAGAAACACATTACCACCATCAGTGGGAATCAGATATATCTTATTTCCATGGGAACTGGTAAAAAGCCTGGTGGTCTTTGCTTAGTGCAACAATAGATCCAGATGATTTGAATTACTCAAACTGATGCACATAGTCGGTGTTATAGGGTACAGACAGACATATCTGTTCTTTCTAAATCTGCTTTATTGATCCAAGTTTGAGTTGCTGTTCTGAACCCATTTTTACATCTATCTCAGATCGTCATTAAAGGTAAGTCTCATGTCAGACCTGTCATTGAAGTTTTCTTCTTCACAGAACAGACTGTACCATCAAGGTTGTTTTTTTTTTTTACATCTAACAGTGCATCCATCTGTTCATCCATCCAAGTTTTCATTGTATATTTGCAAAGCGAATGAGAGAAGTTCCAGACAGAGCTCTGTG